AATGTGGTTTGTGTAGGCTTTTTCGATTTTAATTTTCTTTTTTCATATGATATAAAAAACAATTCCATCACTAGTTCAGTATAGTTAAGAAATACATTAAGTTATGTGAAAACACGTTAATGATCATACCACAAAAAAGGTAAACATTAAAGTCAAATCAGTGACGCATATACTTCTTCTAATATTTGTAACTGTTTTATCTTTTTAATTACAGTTTTCTTTCTCTATTGGAGGGTTCTATAGTATACAGCAGCGAAATAATTGGGAAGGTCTGAATTATTAAAATTTAAAATATGCCAAGCTTTGACTTGGCAGTTACACAATTGTCAGGTTTCAGAGTGCGAAGATTGTTTGATGGTTAGCATTACAAAACCGTATCTTGCTCACAGCCATCATCATTTGCTAAACCAAATCTTTTCTTTTAAATGCTGGCACATACATATACTTTATTAATCTGCAGTTTTATTTATTTCATATGAATGGCCCCCATCGTTTATCCAACTTCCTAGGCTGGTATAATCATTCACAATGCCAACTTCATTTTGCTCTATGATTACCGGCGTTGATGTTCGCTTGACAGCTAAGGCTGTATTTGACCTCATTAACATTGATAATGAGGAGCATATGCTGTTGGTATATCTATTGCCGTCAATGTTTTGCAAATCTAAGGTGTTTCTTGCCATGCGGCTGTATCTTCCGCGATTTTTAGGTACGGTTTCATTTTCAATTATTCCCAGTTGTATATGTAGCTTGTTTCAAAGCCCGACCAAGGGCCAATAAGCAACTGTGAGGAATGCATCCTTGCTTGATACCACATTGCTTCTTACAATTTTCTCCTCTCTTGACTCCATGACGTTTTGTAATTACATTCTCTTGCCAGCGACTTTGTTGCAAAATACCACTTTGGGTATTTTAAACCATTTCAAGTATCAAAGAATGATTGAAATGATATCCATGTATACCTTGGAGTTAGGCATATTGCAAAGCGTACACGCCAGTTTTTGTTCTTTTGCTACGTAGAATCAGCCGGGCGACCGACATTAAAGCCCTAGAACCCTTGGCGTTAAACCAAATAACGCAACAAAATGATTAAGGACCATTACACCAATATTGGCACTTAACATGTTGTCTAAACTTTTTAAAGTGTATCGAACGACTTGAAGAAATTCCAAATAAATGTTCTATAGAATTAAAGCAGATTAACTGACTCACACTTCACTAGAGTCAAAGCCATGTTAATAGCGTTTATCCATGAAAAACTCTGGTTCAAGTCTGTGTGTTTCCATTGTAAACCAAACCACAATTTGCAAACCGGTCATATAGTGTATCACCGAAGAAGAAAAATATCTACGTAATTGATTGGAACAACTTCAAAGTTGTTTGTTAAAAAATAATTATATATCAATTAATATACACGGTATGAAATTGAAAAGGGGTGTTACCTTGTAGAAACCCTGAAAACGATGGGACTTTACCCAGTTTTCTGCGTCTGTTTAAATTTATAAAAAGCAACTGAAGTCATGACTGCAGGTTCGAACACATCATCATTATCACTTGAAAAAAAAAACAGTTTATGACTTTAAGTAAAAACAAATTTGATTTTTTCCTTGTCAGAATTGACGAAATGTAATCGATTAACAAATTGCAACAGAATGTAGGTCAAACAAGAACATCGGTTCCAAGTAGGTGTACTGAGCGTGTTTCCCAACACTTTTAAATATCGTGTATATGGTGAAAGAAAATGAAATTGCATGTATTTAGAAAGGTGTATTTAATTCTGTTGCTTTTCTTTGAGCTGTTAAAAAATATGCCTCAACCCGTCGATATCGTACAATATGGATCTGGTAATCGTGTCTACCAACATGCCAAAAAGCAGTCAGCTATAATTTGCACTAATTGGAACTTTTGCCAATGCAACGTCGAGCGAGTGATTTTATTATCTTTTTTTCAGCACTCGCTTGGCAAGTGTCTGTGGATCTGAAGCCCGTTGGTTTTTATGCCATTTATATGCATAATGTGACGATAACTTGGAACAGCACATTTGTAACTCAGGAAAGAAGAAACCATACCCTCAAAGGATATGTATAATTGCATTGTTATATTGTTTTAATTGCTTGTTTTGCGAGCTAAGTTTGGCCGAGATTTCTGGTGCTACTAAGCTACGCTAGACTTGTATTGCAGTCCTGTATCCTGAATAAAATACCATTGGATGTAGTTATGTGTAAATGTCAGAATATCTTTAGGATTAACTTTGTTCATCATACACACAGAGAAATAGGCATAGAAAAGACAAAGAGTAAGATGTAGCATTTCGTGTTGACATTTCTTCACTTCTTTATCCTAAAGTTACATAATGATGTGGCTAACAAAAGCACTGAGTGTTATGCAATAAGATAATGTCACAGTTGATCGTTTGGGAATACCGGTTAAGACTGAATTCAAGTGAACTTCAAAAAGACGTTTTTCTAACACTCCAATGTGTTTTTTTATTAATTTTACCCTTTTGTTTAATGACATCTTACACGCGTGGTTTCTAAGGGTGGGGTATAATATGGAAACCGTCATTTGAGTTTCGAACTTTGAAGCTTTTCCGTTACATGCAAACACGAAATCGTACCTAAACCAGGCTGGCTCAATCATGTTTTCAGAGAAAAGTCGTTATTCTAGTCAAATTAATGATAATTTCATTGACACAGGGACATATATTTAGCACAGAAGAGAGTGACGTATGTGCTAAACACGGATAACAAACAAAATATAGTATAACAGCATCCATGAAGTCAGCCCCCTCGATTCCTTACTCACATTGCGTCACGTAGAGCTGTCCTGAGTGCCGTGTCGTTCTTAAGGAAGTGTACAGATCTTATTAAAAATAATCTAAGTTACAATTTTCATGGAATAACCCCGTTTTTGTTTAAGTGGGCAAACCGGAAATTTCTAGTGCCTTCGTTCGAATCTTAAAAGTAATTGATCCAATTAAGTGAAATGCGTCATGAGGGGCGCTTCCTGTCATGTTAATGAGACTCTTGCGTCTCATTTTTGGGGACAGAGCTTCTTCTTCACACCTTCACTAATTCTGATTTCAAAACGCCCAAATTGCATATAATCTCAGGTAAATAACTTAAAGCTAATATCCATGCTGTCATTGTGTATGTTGGATTCCATTGTCCTCATTATATAGAAAGGACGAGGTTGTGGTGCCACATATCCGGCTGATTGAAATAGTAACGCTATCCTACACGCATCAATCTGCAGGAACCAAATTCTGTACGCAGATTGGCAGGCAATTGGAAGAACAATTGAGAATGACATTTATTGAAAGCCCTGTTGTGGCCACATGACAACATACATGTATAGAAGCAACGGGTATTTTTCCCCGCGGCGCAGCCAGGCAAATCAAGTCTATAGGCCATACAGTAGATTTAATCTTGTATGTAATCTTTTAACATTGCAAACCGAGGTCATTTGCACCGCAGGTTCGGTCCTTAATTTGTCTAAACTAGGTTTTGTTTTACGAAAAATAACTTGTATCACCTAAAAGACGAAAAAATAATAATTTGACGTAATTTAGGAGATTTATCCACCGCCCTTCTGACATATAGCAACTTTTGATCTTGATATATGCTGTCACCTGTGCATCATGGTGAAAAAAAAATCCCTAAAAATTACCCAGTCGACCTCCCGACCTTTCAGCTTAACGATCTCACTGTAGGTGAATTATTCAGAAGGCAAAGGAATCTCGTGTGTCAAAGTCAAAATGATGTGTCAACCTCCAGGTCAATATTGCCAGGAGCAAGATATGAACAGCTTATACCGCGCACGATTTCAGAAAGTGAGTTTTATGAGAACGTGACCAATTAAAAGGAAATAAGAAAATGCAGTTTTGGCCTGGCGTTGGACAGCTGTTGTGTCACATAAACACAAAATTGTGAAGAGTGTTTTGATGAAATTAATAGTTAAAATAATGATTAGCTTGAATTCAATTCCCTGGGGAAACGGCGCATTTTCCTTTCAAATATTCATTGGGTACCAATAGACGATAAGTTTAATAGTTGTTATAAGTAGTATTTGTATTTTAAAGCTTTTATGGTTCTTGTTTGGAAAATATTTTGAATCTGATTTCTTATTTCAACATGTATAACACATACGAAAAGAATACAAAAGTTTCTTTAAATACTTTTAAAGTGACTTATTCGTTTTTTTTCACTAAGGTCGTAGATTGAACCTTCTTCTAATCTCTTAAATTGTACCACGAACTCTTGTGCAATTGAGTGTTTTTTTTATCAAATAGTTTAACGTCTTAATGAGATAACAACTGTTCGAATGAGATTCATATTTTATAATAAAAACAACTCATAGAAATATAATAAACGCCATATACCACAAAAATAGCGGTTATCGCAATAAATTTAGAATCTGAGCTTGCCATCAGACCCGGACCTTCATAGATGGCTACCTACGTAATAATCTCTTAAGAGATTATCACAAAAAAAGCCAAAATTTTTAGGAAAAAAAAAACATAGACCAACTTTGAATGTCGGAATGGATTCATTTACAATTGGTAAGTGTGGTAAAACTGTCGAACAGTTGCTATCCGTTTAAGTTTAAGAGTAGATTATTCCAAAGTAAAATGTGAATGATTAAATAAAATTATTGATAATTCGATATCTAAATGAACAAATAGTCGAATAAATGAATAAAAGATCGATAGAAAAGAAAGGAAAAAGTAAAACAGAAAGTCCATTAAGTGAGTCTGGCATTTTTCCATTAAGAATCACGCTTCAGACGTACTTCATTTTTTACTTTATTTTTCATTCCACGTTTACTTGGAAATTCTGTTAAACTTGAAAAAAAACTTGGTTTACGACAATCGGTTGATGACAGTGTTAGCAGATAATGGTATAACGTCAGGGTAATAATGTTATTGTGTGAAGCACAACACATGGCAATGCGTCCCTCTGGAAAACACATGTAATGTTACAAGGGGAGAAGGCGTGAAAACTGAGCAGCAGCATTCATTGCCCGAGTCGCATGCGTAGAAGATTGTGTGGGTGAAAATATTTGCCGCAGAAGTCGGTGCACTTGTTTATAGTTCTCATCGAATTTCCACCTTTTGGCTTTGTATTGTGAAAGACGGAAATGTATGGTTTGTTCTTCCAAAGGTATAAATAGTGACTAAATGTTTTCGCAGCTTCAGACGTAGGAAATTATAGGAGGAGCGTGTTATGACTACCTGTGCCATCCCCAAACAGTAACAAGCTGTCACCGGAGTGCCTGTGAGAAGACTGAGTGCTGCGGTAGAGAAAAACAATACCGAGTTATTGTACGTACGTATAAGACCATATGGTAAGTAAAGTCTTACGATGCCGTTCGATAATTTAGTTATATTTTCTTAAGAGGAAAGTGCGTCAGGCAGCCCAAACTGTATCAGTTCTGAATTACATTTATTTAATGAGAATGAATGCATGGGTGTTGCAAGGATTGAGAAATACCAAATACAAGTAAAGCCATCGGGCAAACATTTTAAGTGGCACTTGATTCGCATAATTGATATATCTTCCGTTATTTTATACAGTGTAAGGATACGCAGTAGTCAAAACCAAAGAAGCCGTGCTAATTAGAAAGATTTTACCAACAATCAAGAACATTGATTTTTCGATCCGCCCGTAACGCTCATCTTTGTTTGACGTATCAGTTACATTAAGTATGCACTTCTTTAATAAGATACAGGTTTAAAATGTTGTCCAGAAGCAAATTAGCGAGCTAGATTACCCAAAGCCTGGTGACTGGTAGAGTTACTAATTAATATCTTAATGCACAAATAGCTTCATCCTTTTCAGAGCGAATCAGATTAAGAATTCAGCTGGGGGAATCGGATGCCTCATATTCATCATTGATATCTAAGAATCTCACCCGTGACGAAAAATTGTTTTGTGTGGGCATTAATTTGGATACTTTGTTTTCAAAGGGATACGCACGTATTTTTTAGGTCATTCAATGAGAGATCTGATCTGGGGGTGGTAGCTGTTATAAGTGCCGACCAAATTCGTAACCCGGTACTCACAGAAAGAAGCAGCGCCATTTAAAACTGAAGCTGCTAGCGAAGTTTAGAAGAACTCTCAATTGCCAATTCCACAATTGCAGTTGCCATCTGTGAACCTGATAGCTATTGAAAGTAATCTAATCGTTCGAGGAACAAAACAGGAAATTAAGCGTCTTGCAGGACTGTGTCATAACTTTAAGGTACAAGATAAACTGTCGGCGAGGTCAGTGTTACCTTTACTTGGAGACAAGGGGAGACGGCAGGTACGGAGAACGGGCAATTTTTCTGCAATAAAAGCCAGACTTTTTAGTGTTTATCTCTAAGGACAGTTCTCACATAGAGAGACGGGCACCTGCAACGGTAAGCGATCTGTGTTTCCGGTTTTACGACGTCTCCTAGATTGATGTTCTTGGTAATGTTTTATCTTCATTGATACCTTTTGTATCTTTGATTACCAGGGATTGTAATTTGCATCTTTTTTGCAATTTTTAATATACTTTACCACTAATTTTATAATGCCTGTTATCCAAGTTCTTGTAGAGTGATGTATTTTATGTATATTTATCAAATATATAAGCGCACACATTAACAGGTAACTCATAATTGTCCATTTCATACCATTATGTCACTGCATTTTTCTTACTGATATTTCCTCTGCCGCATTACAGTTTTCTAGGTTAAACTGTGGCGTTTATTCAAAAACCATAGTTTCAAAGCGCAAGCCGCGATTGAAACGTTTCGGAAATTCACCTATAATTTTCTAAAGAAACTGATAAATGTGCCATCTTCCGCACACGCACATTCTCCTGGGAGTCTCCTGTTCTACAATAATGTACAGGTTGATATCTTCCAGGAATTTACCTTTACAACTTCTGAAATATGATCGTTTTATTCGCCTTTACTGACGCAGTGACTGTTTCTTTCTTTCTTGGCCGGAGAAGACAAAATGGTGTAAACAGGGTACTGTCAATCAGGTTTGGAATGAATTCGGGCACTTGTCCAAAATTCTAAAGAGCGTTGCTCCACCCTGTTAAAATGAATCATTACGATACCAAGAATGGCGTTGTCCAAGGAACTGCAAAAAGCTTACTGCCTTGCAATTAGTTGTATAGTTGTATAGTTGTACTGTTGGGCCATCATTTTTGTATTGAACGTCATATTCCTGGTAGGAAAAAAAAAAAAAACTACTGCGTCAAAGCTTTTCAGTACAAATAGTTTTAGTATTTAACGAAACTTTTTTTATATATATTCTGGTGGATCTTTACATTCCCGGTATTCACAATAGTACTTAAAAAAAATTCTGACTTAACGACGTCTCGGTATGTGTGGCTTGAAACTGATGGGACCTGATGTTATTATAAGCTAGCGACACTGCATATTTAGTATGTCTTGTCTCGCAAGAGAAAAATGACTCAGCATACAAATGTGTATAACAAGATAAAATACTGTGTACATGTACATGCCTTTGTGTCCCTGCGATATAAAAGAAGCGCAGCTGCGGTAACAGTTCTTGTAATGCTGCTCGAGCAATTGATTAAAGCATTTTAGAATATGACATCTACACAAAACCATCCCAATAACATCGACACCAACAGAGTTGACACGATTTGTGGTGTTGTATCACAATAAAAAGTAGTATTATTGGAACATTAGTCGTAAGTGAATAACGAAGAAATAGACGATACGACTAGCATCATCGGTTGGAATATTAATGCCATGTATTTTATATAAAAGATTTTCTATATACGTTTGATTAATTGTCAATCTTGGAATAACTGACAATTATTACTCTATCTAAATGTGTGTAAGCATATACCAAAACGATAAGAAAAAAATTCAATCCAGTTGGGGGCTGAAAAGGCGGTCTTAGTCCGTTCATTTTATACACTATCTTCTTTTTACTTGATGAAGGACAAACTTTAGTAACTACAGCTCAGTTCCTAGTTTTTCTGAGGAAAATGACATAAGGGTAATAAAAAGCTTTATATTTTGATAAAACTACGTGTCTCGTGTACCACCTCGTAATGGCCCGCCATTGTGAAAGACTTTAATCATTGCGCTAAGAGCGTATTAACTGTACAAACGACAGTGACGTTAGAGTGACAGTTTCGGATCTCTTACAATTATTTTGTCCAAATCATACCCTGCAGCACCGACGCTACGGATGGTGTTTGAAGGCTGATGGTTCCACATGTCTCAAATGCGAAGTCAAATTGGGAACGCTTGCACCCACTTATTCCTCTGGGTTTATTTAACCTCTCTCTCTTTTTGCATTTGTGCCTTAAATCTCATGAAAATGTTGATTTGGTATCAACATCCATAATTTGTCCCAAACTGACACATGTCAATGAAACAAAATAGCATTATGCGCCTTAGTAATTCAATTAGAAGTACTTTAGAACGAAATCCTTTGATAGCACTGCTCAAAACCATTGTTCAATGGGCATATGCTTTTATATGCCTGTTTATTAGAAGTCTCTACTCATTAGTGCAATTTGACTTGCAAGTGAGTATTTTATTCATGACTCCCTTACTCTTGCGTGTAGTTTCTTAGATCTGTTAGAAAAAAAAAACTCCCTTGCCGCTGTAATCTGACATCTGCATGTAAAAGACTAACCTTTCCTAGTAACTGGTATCAAATCAACTCAAAAAGATTTACTTCAATAATATAGTCATCTAAGCAAAAAACACACAAATTGTTTCATATTGGAAATCATTAAAATTCTCGTGAACAAGACAATGCAGAATGTTTTGGCGGATGCATTAGAAAAGCACGAAGTGAAATTAAAGTGCAATAAGTAACGCCAAAAATTGATTGCTAGTAAAGAGTGTAAACTTTATATTGATGCTGACGTTATTTGTCTGTTATATTTTTTTGCAAGTTTATCCATTATGCCATTCAAATGTATTTGTTTAATGAAGTTTCCATTGATGTCATACTGCACAGATTTCCTCTCAAACAAAACCGAGCAGTGGGCATATTTCGACAAAACCATCTTAAAATATCGTGTTATGATGTACGATCGCCTCCAGCTTCTTGTTGTCAGTATAATACTCACAGTTGTGCCTTATTAGGCTTCATTCATGTCTATAAACACACTCTTACGTGGTAGAAGAAAACATTTCCTTTCCTTGCATTTCCCCCCATTTTTGGTACTATAATATTTCTATAGATTTATGTTTTTTTCTCAAACTTTGAGCTTGATCAATACTTAATAGACGCCCTTGAGGAAGGTAGCAATTGACTTAATTTAATTTACAGGGTAAATAAGTTTTTGCGTGGTATGGCAAAAAGTGCAAGTCATGCCAAGTGTCATTTACTTCAATGCCCGTTCGTAAGTGATTCTAAGCCTTGTCTTTTTTCTATTTTTATTTATTTATTTATTTATTTATTTATTTATTTATTATTTTTGTGAGGAAAAATTCAACCACATATCAACAATTGATAATTTACCCTTTTTTCTTCTTTTTTTATGTCAACTGATAAATTTCTAAAAACCAATCCGTAGATATCACCACTGCCCCAGTACTGGGCACTGAAACCCAATTAAACCGTGTAAAGGGAGACGCTCTATTTGATAAACAGGAGCTCTGAAGTCTGGCTTTAAGCTTCAACAGGTAATTGAAAGTGAATACGCTCCGTTTGATATTCATCCAGCACACACATTTTTACTATTCCGTGTCCATTTTGTTTTGTCAACAGAATCCCCTAGCGTATGGATGGGTATTAGTGCCAATAGGAGATTAATGTGAATGAGTTTTATCCTTACAGCACTCTCGGTATTCTAGTATGCATGGGAGCTCGCTAATCCACTTTCACGTCCAATTCTATATCTTACATTGAATTGTATTGAGTTTTGCTAAGATTTAGTTAGTCTCTATTAGAAAAAAATACATTTTATTAGATTGTAGAAAAGATAAGAGCGCTAAAACAGCGCAGCATGCCCATTTGATATGATGAAAAAATTATATATCAAAATAATGAAGTAGGACTGTGAATACTGTTGGGAAGATATGGGAACGTACATGTACATGCACTTAACGTGAACATTATATATTGCCTAACCCGGTAATACTGGCGGCAGCAGAATCTATCGCGATTAAAACAACACGAAAACACCATTTCAGTGCGTTATGAACACTGGCTTACATTAGAAATTCAATCCTTTACAATGTATGTATGTGAGTGCGCGCTCCTCCAGATATCTGCCATTCTCTCTCACAAGTCGCGCATTGCTTATATCAGCAGCTGACCGTATAAAGGCATGGTGTCGAACACATCGTCAAAGTTCCTTATAAACCGAGCTGATTATACCATATACTTGTGTAAAATGGTTGTGGTAAATGATTATAAAAATGATGCATTTTACATTTTGAAATAGTAAAAAGGTACTCAACATTCTTGATATATATATATGAAAAAAGAAATTCCCAGGCGAAATGGTTTTACTGGAATGAAAGCTTTCGATACATGTAAGAAATGAGATATGTCCGATGTCTGAGGTAAAAGTACACGCTACAATGTTTTGTTACAAACTATAGTATATATATTTTCTGAAATATAGTTTCTCAGTATAGCCATGTAGGTATAAGAAGAGACTTTTTGTTTATAGTATACTCGAATGTATCTACAAAAATGTCCACAAAATGTTATCATTATAATTTAGATATCATTTTAAATAAAAATGCAGACAAAAAATTCACAACGAGTGCAAAACTAATTTTGTAAGGTTTAGAGGGGGATCTGATTGCTTTACTGAATTAATTTTCCATATTTAGAATAATGTCACCAGTCCGAATTAAAAGTCGATGAATTTTGCTATGCAGTGTGCTGGAGACTGTGATCGACTTGACCTAGGGTATCCGACAAAGATTGATAAAATGTGTCACAGGATTAGACAAACAGCGTGCTTGCTATTTGATGTTCCATCAACATGTATATCCTCGCGTCCTTAGATTGGAATACAACAAGAATCAAAAACATACACATATGTACATGTAGCAACCGTGAAATGAATGACAGGTGCACGTTGTCGATACGTCACTATCGGCAGGGACAGAAGACGGGTCATATTGCCTGAAAGGTGCCACGCGGCTTAATTTCAGAGTTCCCGGAATAGCTGCCATCGAGGACAGCCAGTGCATGTTTGATTCCCAATGACGCAGGTTTTCTGAAAAGTAATTTGTCTCTCATTAATCCATCATCCCTGATCCAGCTCACTACAGGGTAAGGGACTCCTGTATAAGATGGTGTTGTGCCGGACACAAGTCTAATCTTGAACTAATCAACTCCTTAGCGGAAAGCTTTATTGACCCCCACCTATCGTGCAAATTACTATAATACAAAATGATATGTTTTA